AGCAAAGAATATCGCCAAATACGTAATATTTACGGACATCATGGGGCGACAGCGCTACTTAAGCAAAAATATTCATCCTCAACATAGGAGCGGAAATACATGAGATATTAGACTGGACAAGCTTAGAAAAAGCAGAAATTATATGGGTCCCGGGTCACAAAAGGATACAAATTAATGAAATAGCGGAGGCATTGGCCAAAAAGGCATGTACAGAGGGCATCCCTCTCAACACAAGCTTTAGTGTGGGAGATGCATTTAGAGCATCAAAAAGACGCATATGGCAGACATGGAATAGCCACTTCAAAGAGTTATGCAGAACCAAAGGCAACACATTCTTTAGTTATTTCCCGGTCCTAACAGAAAACCCATGGCATAAAAAGATAAAGTGGACAGCCTCTAATATAAAACTTATAAACCGCCTCTTCACTGGTCATACGTATGACAAAAAGTACCCCCATAAAATCAATAAAACTGATACTGACATGTGTGAAACATGTAATGAAGTAGAAAGCGCAGAACACTTAATTTTCCAATGCCATAAACTTAACAAATTAAGAAGAAAATATAAAATTTTCACTCGAGCCGAGACAACTAAAGACATCTTAAAAACAAAAGAACAACTATATTTAAGAGAACTAACAAAATTCATAAATTAAGCAAGAATAAAAAACGGGTCCGCCATCTAACTTATTTTTTTCAACTAGTGCTTATTTCGTGAATGGCAACATTTAGCTCATGTCTGATTTGACAGATAATTAGTTTTATCCTTCCCCTGAACGAATATGGCTGTGAATACGCTTGAACAACGCTGGGAAATATTGCGACATTACTTTGAAAATCATGGTAATGTTGCAGAATGTGTGCGAAAATGCGTACGGATTTTGGAAGAAGAGAAGCACCTTCAGCTCCGTATGTTCGTTATCTTGTGAAAAAAGTGAAAGAAACTGGCATCCTCATCGATAAACCAAAGCGTGAAAAGCCAAAAACAGTGCGTATACCCGAGAATATTGCTGCTGTGGCAGAAAGTGTGCGTGAAGCGCCATCAACATCAATTCACCGTCGTTCTCAACAATTGAACATTTCGGAGACATCATTGAGACGAATTTTGCATAAAGACCTTGGTATGACGCCATACAAAGTCCAATTGGTTCAGAAGTTGAAGCCAACTGACCATCTGACCAATGCGCTTTTGCTTCGCTAAGTGGGCCTGCGATCGACTTACAGAATATGCCGATTTTGCCCAAAATATTATCTTTTCAGATGAAGCTCATTTTGATCTTGGCGGGTATGTAAACAAGTAAAATTGTCGCACTTGGGGCACAGAAAACCCGCACGCATACATTAAAAAGCCGATGCACCCAAAACGAGTCACTGTTTGGTGCGGATTTTGGTCCAGAGGCATAATTGGGCCATTTTTCTTCGAAAATGAGCAAGGAGTTGCCGTTACAGTCAATGGCGATCGTTATCGGGCCATGTTGAACGAATTTTTGTTCACAAATATTGAAGAGGAGGATATTGGCAACATTTGGTTTCAACAGGACGGCGCTACGTGCCACACAGCCGAAGCTACACTCGCATTATCAGCCGCAGAGCTGATGTCGTTTGGCCACCTCGGAGTTGCGATTTGACACCGTTGGACTATTATTTGTGGGGTGCCTTCAAAGATAAGTGTTACGCCGACAAGCCAGAGACAATTGACTCTTGAAAGGACAATATTCGTGAAGCCATTGGTGAAATACAGCTGCACACAATCGATAATGTGCTTAAAAACTGGACGGATCGTGTAGGCTACTGCATGGCCAGCCTAGGCAGCCATTTGATTGAAATTATTTTCCATTATTAACCGGAAGGATTGTACTTTCAAATAAAAAAAGAAATTTGATAAAAAATTCAGTAGTTTTTTTTATACCATTTTCAAAAAAAAAAGTTATTTGGCGGACCCGTTATTTAAAAATTACATAACCATTACAATTACAGGTAAACACCAGCTTACTGAACCAACACAAACAACTGACTACGTAGCTTTTGAGTACCCCAGTTAGACACGTTTTCTAGTCGGATTCGAAAGCCCAGAGGACCGTCGAATAACCATTAAGTTGGACGGATGCGTGTAGGTGGATGGATACTAGAGAAGTATGACATAGTTCAATTAGCTCCTTAGTAGTTAAATAGATAATTAAATCTATGTGTTAGCTTCAGACTCCCGAAGTGAGAGTCGAGTGAGAAGTTATTCTATTTCAGATTTGTAAATTTGAGGGAAAGTTGAATAACAATTAATGAGAAGGATGCTAATGAATTTTATGAGAAAAGAGAAGGATGAAGAGTTCAATTATCTCCATGAAAACTAGTCATAACTAAGGTTGATAAGAACGAAAAAGGAAGATTAGGACTAATTCAAGTTTGATTAAAGAGAAAACATCAAACGTAAACGAAAATGAGAATTATACTTGATGTTTATTTATGGACAGAGAATAGAATACATTTTACGGTCGATATAATGGAAAAACAATTCATAACAAAGTATATATTTGGTTTAATTCAATTTGGTTAAATAGAAAACAGCAAACGGAAACGAAAATTAAATTATTCTAGTTTTACAAGAATAAGTTGAAAAATTAAATTATTCTAGTTTTACAAGAATAAGTTGAATTTTAAAAAGGACAAGTATATATATATGTTGTTAATGAAAATTTTACATTTTATGAAAAAAACAGAAAAAGGGACAAACAAAAATTTATTTGGGTCAAAAAGTATAATTTGATTTAACGAAAGCAGAATATTTTTTTTATTAAACGCAATAAAATAAAATAAAAGGTTAGAGATTTTTTTGAAAACCAATATAATTTACACTAATCGCAGAAGAAAATTATGTTTTGGGTTATTATTGAATAAGCGCAAAACAAGAAGATTAAATTCTTCTAGAATCGAAAAAGTAAAAACGGAAAAGGAACCAACAAAATTAAATTTGATTAAAAGATAAAATGAAATTATTATAGTTTAAATAAAATATTCCAATAAATATATGCATAAAAACAAGTAAGAGGTTCTAGTCGGAAGCTCCCGACTAGGAGATACCCTGAACCCTCTTCTTCCAACACCAAATGCGGCTCGCGCTGCGCGCTCGATTGATTTAGTAGTAATAAAGATAAATTAAAATAAAAAAAAAACTCTTCCCTTGGCAGGGTTCGAACTCGCAACTAACCGCACCACTTACCGCTGCCTCTACTCAAGGGCCGCACCAATAATTGAGCATTAATAAGAAAAAAACCAATTAAAATAGCAGCACAGAAAACAATACAATCGCATTTGCAATGCTGTTGATAGAATTCAAAGCAGACGCGCATGAATGTGTGTGTGTGTACATGTATACAGAAATTCTTGGAATTTGCGCAGCAGCTATGCTGCTAACACGTGCGCATTTAACTTTTGTGTTTCTTAACCGATCTTAATGAAATTTTCGACAGTACATCTTGTTGTAGACTAGAATAAAGAATATTTGTGTATTCTCAAAAATGTAATTGCATATAAATTGTGGCTTAAATTGATGGGCAATACAAGTTGGATAATTAACTTGATTTATAGCTTTTCGGTGGTAGCGGGGAGGTGCCGATAGGTATAAAATGAAAGATACTTGATATATATATACTATACTATTCTAGAAGCTACATGTCGTTTGGTGACTAGCTCATATTTGCCGAAATTGCTGAAAGAACAGGATTTCAATATCGATTTTTATCGATTACTTGGAAACGGGGCAAGTTAGCGAATATCGGAAAAAAAAACCTGATCTGCGCGAGCATTAGGAGGGACCTACAGCTAAAATTTCAAGACTCTAGGTTCTGATATCCTTGCGTTCACATAGACGGACAGACGGACGAACAGACTGATAGACAGACAGACAGACGGACACGGCTAGATCGACTCGGCTATTGATGCTGATCAGAGAATATATATACTTCTGCCTGTTACATACATTTGCACAAATACAACATACCCCGATTACCCATTTAAAAAATTAAAAAGGAGTAAACAAACAATGAATAAAATAAAAATGAATTTATTTTATTTGGAAAAGAACGAAATAGTATAATTAGTTTAGTTTAAAAATAAAAATTCAATTTTAGAAAAGAAAAAGTATATTCAAGTTATATGAATTATTTTCCAATTTTGAAGTGCTTCAGTCGAATTTTAGAAGCAGACTGGCTAGATATTGTATGTGGGCATTGGCAACTAAGGCAAATTTCAGAATTTAGTTTCAAGGCCTACTTAAAAATGAGTAAAATTTTTTAGAATTCAAAAGCATACTTGGATCAGGGAAGTGTAATTATAGTTTGAGTAGAGCTAAAAGAACTACTGTTCAACGTTCAGTTCCAACATGAGAGTCGAGTGATAAGTAACCTTTTCGAGATTTTTAATTTTAGGGAAAGTCTAATACATTTTAAGAGAAAAAAAGGTCAAACATATGAAAAAAGGAGAAGGAATTAAAATTTAATTATCTTCTAAATGAAAAAATGACATAATTGGGTAAGAAAATTTCCTATTTCAGAATTATGAGATATTTGGGTCAATGTTAAGGGCGAAAAAATGTGCCTTAATTAATAGAGCTTAAGAATACTTTCTGTCTGCAAGCTATAAAGGAAGAGGACCGCCAGCCGAGAATCTAAACAAAATTTAGCTAAATATTTACCAATTTTGGGAGTCTGTTCGCATATTTATATGCTATTTACTTACAATTCATCTGGACAAGGCTGCTTTGAATTATTGAGATTTTGAGGAAATTTAGAAGATTTGTACGTTGTCCGAGAGCTCATTATGTTAGTGTGCTCCTACTATTATTCATCCAGAGGGCTATCTTGTTTAATTGCTCTTGTTGCTTTTGAACTATATTATTGAGCATCTGGTAGTCGTCGATTGGCTGAGTGGCAGTGGTATTAGATGTAGAAGCAGTGTTTGTAGCTGGCTCATTTTCTTGCATATTTTTTTATTGGTTTCTCTTTTTGTACGTTTCTGACGATGTTGCCGCTGTAAATACCTTGGAGATTGCCTATTTTTTAGGGTATGACCCTTGCTGTTTGACTTTGACATCGATTTTGTAATTTTGTGTGTGAGTTGCCGCAGATTTCGCATTTTGCCCGAAGATTTGTCGGTTTGTTACAAGAAATAGCAAGATGATCATTGCCACATTTGACGCATCGCGGAGAATGGGGACAGAAACGAGCCGTGTGATTGAATCTTTGGCAACGAATGCACTGAGGTAATTTCTTATCATTTTTAGGCCATTCAAGTCGGACAACGTATTTACAGAGAGGGCGGACTCCGAATAATTAAAACCATACTAGAAAGCTCATCTTTAATAAGGTCTGTGCTTGTGAAGGATAGGATGCCACACTTCACTACTTTGAAAGACCTTTCACTCTGCATCTGGTATGTATTGTATTGACATTTTTCTATTTCAAGGATATTTATTATTAATCTGTATTTAGCAATAGTTTCTGGAATGATTTTGACCATTCCAGAACCACAAAGTTTCAATTTGAATTCAGTGATTGGAGGGTTATTTACCACGAGCTCGGCAAGAATGGGATCAAGAGTTGTACTCGATAAGTTGTCAGGGCTTTGAGCAATATAACTATTCTGCATAATAATATGCGGAGGTTTGGGAAGTATTGTGTTATTACAAAACATCAAATGCTATTGTCAACAGCTGTGAAGGCGACAACAGCAGAAGTAGCTTCTGGAGCAGAATATAATATGCGCATATTGCGCGTTGCGTTGTGGCGTGTAAGCCTTTTGCGAGTTTTAGGCAAGAATTTAAAATTGCACTGCTTGCGCAGACGAAATTGGTTTTCATGGCTTAGATTTTCAAAATTTCAGCTATTAGCACTTGAAATTTTTCCATCATCTGTCTTGGATTCTCCATTTCCAATAATTAACTGCGAAAAATCACTCATGAAAAGAGTACTTAGAACAGATGTGGATGGCGAAAGTGCCGACAGGGGCGGAGAGGAATGGGACATTTTATTAACAAAATAGGAAAGCTAATTTAAAACTTTGAAAAGCCTTAATTCCTGGTTTTTGCTACTCGATTGCCTTGCTTCTCAGGATTTAAATATTTTGTTCATAAAATAATAATATTACCGATTTTAGAAGAATTTTAGCAGTTTCACTACGTTTGAATTGGAGAAAAGAATTTATTTTTTCAGATTTTTGACGCGTTTTAGTCACCATAATCATTACATAAGAAGCGGACTCCGAATATGGTGTTGCTCTTTTCTGACAGAGCCATGCCAATTTTGTAACTTGGGGCTATATAATCTTCTGACCTCATCCCATCCGAGTCAGTTCCTCTTTGATATGGTCAGTTCAGTTCACTTCTCATCGGTACGTATTGTATTGGCAGTCTTTTTCCTTGTCAAGTATATTAATAGTCTATATGACTCAGTTGTTTCTGGAATAATTTTTATAAATTCAGGACCACTCAGTCTTAGCTTAGAGTCAGATGGGTGGATTATTTGCTTCGAATTTAGTGAGAATAGAGTCTAGAATTTAATATGTCAGGGTTTTGATGTATTGAGCTGTTCTGCAAAACTGCAATATGTGGAGGCTTGTGATTCATATTGTTGACACAAGGCAATCTAGGGTGATTGCGCTTTTTACGCAAGCGAAGCTAGTTTTCAAGCACTAGAAAGATGCCCTGCATGCTCGTTGGAATCAGGTGAGGAAGAAGAATGGGATATTGTTATTAAATGAAAAAGAAAGTAATAAAGAAAGGGAACAACTTTGTTAAAAACCTTGTTTCCTGGAAAGCCGGTTCTGCTGCCATGAGCAAATCGATTGCTTTGCTTGTCGAAGGTGACAGGATTTGAATTCTAGAAATGAATCTGATAGGGTTTTAATGAATTGAACTGTTCTGCAAAACGCCAGTAAGCGGACGCTTGAGATTCATATTGTTGACACAAGGCAATCTAGGGTGACCAACAGCTGTGGACACCCCGCAGCAGAAGTACCCACAGGAGCACATGCATCATCCGACAAATCAGCCGAAGACGGAGAAAGAAACCTGCCAGAGGCTGTGGCCAAAAGCCACCAAAACAACACAAATAAATGTGAGTCTAAATTTTTTTTATTTGCACCAATGTGGAACACATAAATAAATAAATATACTCATAAGTGCCAAAATAATTATATAGGTGGCAAAAAAATGTATGTTGACTGGTTTATACTACCCTAACTTGCCTAAAGAGCTTTCTGGCATTGGTAAGGGACGATAAAAAAAACTTAAGTTTTCGTGAATATATGTATATACGTGTGTACTATTTGTACGTGCGTTTTATTCAAGGTTTTAGGCAAGACCACTCTCCAGGAACTCTGGCCTTTGTCTTTGGCCTGGGGCGGACAAACGATCTCGGAACGGACTCACTCAACTGGTTGATACTTGCTGTCGCTCGCCTCCTCGTCTCTCCTGTTGCGTAGGCCTGGCCGCGCTTAGGGTCTCCGGTCCAAAAAAACTTGGCGAAAAGGTGGTCACCGTAGCTGCCTATATGCACAGCTGCATTTCTGGGCCAACGGCCCAGTTGGAGGCCAAGGGCATTACGAAGGGCACCATTTTCGCTCATTCCCCTGCGAGCGTAGGGCACCCGCCTACGCTCTCCCACTTTTTTTCACTCAAGGCAGTGGATCCTGTGCTAGGCGTTGCCACCCCTGCGAATAGAGGGCAATTTTTTTTATTTAAATTTATCTTTATTACTACAAACGAGCGCGTAGCTTAAGCTGCATTTGGTTTTTGAATAAGAGGGTTCAGGGTTTCACCTTGTCGGGAGCTCCCGAATAGAACCTTTTACTTGCTCTCTTTTATGTTCTCATAAATTTCTAATTTCTTGTCCAAACATTTATCCCGGAGGTTACCAGACATTGACAGTGACTGTGGTCGGACAGTGGAGCGTTCAATCGCCCCCTCTGCAAATGCGGCTCCCTCTCAAAGGTGGCTAACAACATCAATAGGAAAGGACTCTAACCAATAGATTTGCCGAGTTATTCGACGACTTTGAAGATGACGAATCCGATTCAGATCATGATATGGGCTTGCCACCATCAGACGACGAGTCCGCCATTGCTGTTGATCCCAGTGCGCCTCCAGTTGCTACGAAGTCACCCGCTGTAGCTTCCACAGCCGTCAATAACCCTTCTGAAGCGAATGCAGCAGCTCAGAGCTCTATTGTTTTAACTGGCATTGACAGCCTCAATGACCTCAAGACCGTAATTGCCCCTGTAGTGGACATGAATGACATAGTAATTGGCTCTAATATGGGAAGAACTATTCGTCTACAAGCCAAGGATGTGTATACATTCACAACCCTATAAACAAGTCCACCAAAGAGCCTATGAATTTGTTCTTTTTAAACATTGAGACCGCGTTCAACAACAAGGACATACATAATATTAAAATATTAAATAGGCAAAATATCAAGATCGAGCATAGCTCCTCGGAGTGCGACAAGCCAGCTGGCGTACCACCCACCTCCGTTCACTGTGGAGGAAATCATCCTGCCACCTATAAGGGCTGCCTGTGATACAAATAGTACTTGGGAATATCGAGAGCAGCAGGTAACAAAACCAACAAATGCACTACTAAACCGAGTCGGGCTCATCATGGTGGCCAAGTGGCCAGTCACATAACTAACAGCAGCAACAACACCTGATACCAGAAGCGCAGCGTTCTGCTGGAAGTAGCTGGAATGGCTTGTTCTCCGATGCATCCAGAAGTAATGACTCAGAACTACCTACACTACCCCTATGTCCAGCTCAAGCTCGCCTAGAGCGGCTTTAACTAGTACAGCAGCTGCAGCAGAGATCCCAAATGCTGCTACAACAACAACGCCAAGAGACTTCCAACGGAAGTAATAACGAGTTATTATCCGCTGTCAAGGACCAGTATTCTCACCGCTCTGAGCTCCAAATGACCTCCTTACGCATATTGATCTGGAATGCTAATGGCATTTTAGAACAAGCGCCGGAGCTTGAGCCAACAAAATCGATGTGATCCTGCTGAGCGAAACTAGACTCCGAAATTAACGATTTCGATGTTATTTTCAACTCCGTGGGATCCAAAGCGCTTATTGGTGGCGATTGGAATGAGCGGCTGTGGGGTGACCGCTCCATCAGCCCCAGAGACGCACTGCGTTCTAGTAAAAGTCCTAGCGACAGGTTCTCCAACTAGGTACCCCTACGGCCGTAGAGGAAGCCCGTCCTGCCTAGACTTTGCCCTGTATCAAGGAATACCCGATGGGATTATAAGGATTTCAGACTCCTGGGACCTGTAAATATGGAGATATATATACATATATATTGTCAAGATCATGGTCATTGTGTGTGTGATTGAATGGGAGGGGAAAGGGGGATTGGGAGGGTGAGTGCGTTGGTGACGCATGCGCCAGTTGCTATGATATCAGCGAGCTATAATGCGGCTTGTTGTCGAGTGTGAATATAATTTTTAAATAAAATTTATTTAGTCATCTGAAAGATTTAAAGTGAAAAGTCATCGACATCAGCAAGCAATTAAACAGACTACGCTATGCACAAGCCTTTTCGCGTGCTATGTAAAAATTACAATAGTTTGCATCACGTTCTCTCTACCGAACTTTCTCTACCCCTAATAAAATAATTGCTTTCAGGATACCTTCACTGACCATTTCCAGCTATGAGCAGGGGCATAGCTTGCCGGACAGGCACGGCAATTTTCATAATTGTATATATGTATAATGTATTTAATAATTAGGAAGACACTCGTTTTGTCGATCATTAATAAATAAATAAATAGAAAAAAAAATAAAATATTCCTAAAATGTCGTCAACATCAGCAAGCAATAATCAAAGTGCACAACGCTTTTGTGAGGTTTGTGGATTAACTTTACCTCATAATCCCTGGACGCAACCTTTGCGAACAAATGATCATCAAAATAAGGCCTTTACACCGTTGGATGATTACGTTAAGCTTGTGTCATCTGGATTCAAAAACAGGATTAATAAATATTCATATAATGTTTTGAATGACGTAATGCTTCCTGAAGATTTCCTATGCGAAGCTTCCAATAATGGAAAACGTTTTCGAGGTGCACACCTCGTATAAAGTATACTTTGAACTTTTTGGCGAATATATGAAGATAAATAATAATGCTGATGGTGAAGAATTTGAAATAATGATCAAATCCCATCAAACGGAAATGTGTGTGGTTACGATTTCTTCTGATTTAGAAGCAATATTCATAAGCCATTCAGCCATGATATGTTCAAAGATGGATGAATTCCAAGATGGACTAAGTTGGACTCTCATTTAAATTGTACGTCTTGAAATGAATATCAACAAATATAAGCCACTAAGAGGCTCCATTTTTATTCCGTTACCACGGAAATTAAGTTTGAAGAAAGCCATAATAAACATCAAAAACGAAGATGAGTTTTGTTTTAATGTTCATTATATGGAATTTCCGCTAAAGCTCAATGACATTAAAATGTATGAAGAACAAAATGCTAACATAAATGTCTTTGGGTATGATGAAGAAATTAACGAGATCATTGGACCGCTTTACTTAACTTAAGAAAACAGGAGAAAGCATATTGATCTATTGCTTTTGGAAAATCAGAATATCTCACGTTATGCCTGGATAAAGAATCTATCACGGAAAGTAAACAAAACAAAGACAAAAAAAAATAATTTTATAATATATATATATGCATTTTAAATTTAATATCATTCATATTTTCTCCTTCAGGCTTACACAAAATCAACTGACTTCACATACAAGGCGTCAGACGCG